CTCCCCCTCGGCCTCCTCCTCCTCCTTTCCCTCCCTCCTCCTCTCCTCCTTTGCCTCCTCCTCCTCTCCTCCTCCTCCTCCTCTTCCTCCTCCTCCTCCTCCTCCTCCTCTCCTCCTCCTCCTCCTCCTCCTCGTCTTCGTCCTTCTCCGCCTCGTCCCCGTCCTCCTCGTCCGCCTCGTCCTCGTCCTCCTCCTCCTCGTCCTCCTCCGAGGGCCGCCGCGGCGGGCGGCCACGGGCAGGATGAATGGGAGTTTGGCATCGCTTGGACGTGTGCATTTTTCTCCGGCAACCCACCTCATCCTTCTCCTCCTCGTCCTCCTCCTCTCCTCTCCTCGCGTCCTCTTCCCCTCCTACTCTTCTTCCTCCTCCTCTTCCTCCTTCTCCTCCTCCTTGTCCTTCTCCCCTCCCCTCCTCCTCCTCCTCCTCCTCCTCCTCCTCCTCCTCCTCCTCCTCCTCCGACCCCTCCTCTCCGTCGTCCTCCTCCTCCTCTCCTCCTCCTTCTCCTCCTCCTCCCCCGCCTCCTCCGTGTTCTCCTCGGCCACGGTGCTGTCTCGCCATGTCCGCGTAGGGCCCGAGCCTCCTCCGCTGTCCCTACCTCCCGCAGCCTGGCCGGGGTGGGGGGGTCCCGCCAGGCCAGGCGCGGCCCCGCCTTGGCCCCGCGGTGGCCGCGCAGGGCCCAAGCCTCCGGACCTCGAGAGGATCGGTCGAGGATCGAGGATGGAGGATCGAGGATCAATCGAGGATAAGAGGACCGAGGGTAGAGGGTAGAGCATCGGAGGTAGAGGGTCGAGGATCGAGGATCGGGGACCGATCGGGGATAATCGAGGCTCGAGGATCGAGGCTCGATCGAGCCCCTCCGCTCGGTGGCCTCGGGCAGCCCTGCGGGCCGCCCGTCGGGCAGGTGACCTGCTGCTCCTGCGGCGCGGCCTCGTGGCCCAGCTGCAGGCTTGCCCCGCCGCCCTTCGGCTGCCCTTCTCGGGCCGAGCGAAAAGGTAGGAGTAAGTCGGGCATGTTCCTCTGCAGGAAGAATGTTCAAGAATAGTCAAAAAGTAGTCTGGGGACGATTTTTCATGCCCGACCGAAGGGTCGGATAGGGAACCAAGACGCCCCGAGAACCCTCCAAGAGGCTTCCCAAGAGGGCCCCAGAAGGCCAAAATCATTGATTCTCCTCAGCTTCTCATCGGACTGTGGCGCTCTCGCCTTGTCGGTTTTCCGACGCTCCGAGACGGCCCAAGAGGCCTCCAATACCACCCCAAAACGGCCAAAGAGGGTCCCAAGACGGCCTACGAGCGCCCCAGTACGGCCCAAGAGGCACCCAAGACGGCGCAAGAGGGCCCCAGGGTTTGAAATGTGCTGCAGGCAGCTGGTTTCCGCCTCGCCGCCGGGCCCATTCCTCGATATATATATATATATATATATATATAATAGGCGACTGTCTGAGGAAGTGGGAGGCTTCTCAGCAGGCTGGGACTTCCTCAGAAGTGCCAGGAGGTTTCCAAGCAGCACTCCTAGAAGTCGGGAGGGCTTCCAAGAACCCCCCTGGCCTTCTCTCGCCACCGCTCGGACGTCCACTCCCCGAGCAGGTCTCGAGCTCGTGCGTGCTCTTCCTCGCCCACCGACCCAACATGCTCCTCGATGGTCCCCGCCCCCTCGCCGGGAGGACCAGCCACGTGCGTGAGCCGACCTTCCACCCTGCCCTTTTGCTATCCTGCCCCACCGCCCCCCCCCCCCCCCCTTCGCCGCCTTGGCGCCGCCGCCGCCGCGGGGGCGGGGCACCGCGGGGGGTCAGCTCGGGGGGCAACGATCCCAGGCCCCCTCGGGTCATGAAGAATCTCCAGGCCTCCGAGACAGGGGTCCGAGACGAGGAGGTTCGACGCAGAGCCCCGTGCCTCCCCGTGCCGAGGTCGCCGATGCAGCTCGGGGGCCACGAACCCAGGTTCCCTCGGGCCATGAAGAGAGCATGACGGGAGATGATTCTGGGACTTACGCCACACCGCCGACCCCGTGTGTTTTGGGGGGGCTTCCTGGGGGTCCCTGGAGCACGTTGGGGACGTCTTGGAGCCGAAGGTTCGAAGTGTCCGTTCCGGTTCTCCGTCTGGCCGACCGGGAGTCTCTCTGTCCGTCTTGGAGCTCTCCTGGTGGTCCTTTTGCCGTTTTGGAGCCCTCCTGGTGTCAAAATATATTTTTCGCTCTTTGAGCTTGGGGTTCTTTGGGGAAGCCTCTTGGAGGCCTCAGGGCTCCAGCCCACGGCCGCTCCCGCGGTCCATCCGGTGCAGTTCTTCATCTCCGATCGACCTCCGACGGTCCTGGGTTTTCGTAGGGCAATACCGGGACAACCATCCGGACAACCATCGGGGCAACCATCGGGAGAACCCCATGCACGACATGACCCGACACCGAAACCGATTTCTTGGTTGGGGGCACTTGCGGTCAGAACCCCCTAACCTTCGATCTGTTCAGAACCCCCTAAGCCCCTATGTTGCGTTCGGGCCATCCCTCCATCGTGCTTGGTTCGTGGGTCCGAGGCCACCCTGAAGGGTCATGGGGTCCCGTGGGATGTCTTTCGGGGCTTGTGGCAACGTGGCTGGGTGGCCTCTTCAGCACCCTGAGTCTGCTTTGGGGGCTTCCTAGGTTGTTTTGGAACGGCTTTGAGAGGCTCCAAGGCCGTCTAGGACGTTATGAGAGCCCTGAGTGGCCTCCTGGGCTTGGCATCGATTGGACGTGTGCGATCCTTGATCATTTGGCGAAAAAAACACGCACGAAACCGAAAAAAGCACAGGGAATGGACGTCCGAGCGATGGCGAGTGGGAGCCTCTAAGGGCGGACGGCTGGAATGTTCGCTTCGTGGTCCCCCTTTCGGGCCCCTCTTGGGGCCGTCCTGGAGCCCTTCTGGGTCGTTTTTGGGGGCGCCGCATGTGCCGTGTCAGGGGGGCTTCTTTGGAGCCTATATAGGGCCGTCGGGAGGGGGAAGCATCTCACTTAGGCGTCCTGGGACGATCTTTCGGCGTCTCGGGGCCCTCTTGGACCGTCTTGGCTTGGCATCGCTCGGACGAATGCATTTTTCCTTCGGCGAGGACCATCGAGGAGCATCCTGGACCATCAAGCAAAAAAAACGCGCACGAAACCGAACAAAACACAGGGAATGGACGTCCGAGCGATGGGGAGCCCCCCCCTCCAAATCGACCGGACCGGGCTCCGGGGGGAGGGGTTTGGGGAGGGGGGAGCATCTCACGCGCCGATGATGCCCAAGGGGTCGGCGGATTCGCTATCTTCGGGGAAACGAGAGACTCGAGTAAGCCAGAACGCTGGTGTGCCGACGCGTTTTGACGAGCGCGTTCCGGGTTGTGGCGGTCCAGTTTGCGTGGGATGTCTGCAGCAGGACCTCGCGCCAAATTTCAGGTAGGGTCTCGTCATTTTCATGATGGCCCCGTCAGGCCAACCCTAGTCCCCCGAACCCGAGTCTTACGTTTCCCCGAGATCATTCAGGGGCAACGATAGGGGGGCTAGGCATGGGGGGATGCATCGACCCCTAATCGCCCATTGATCGCCTATAAGGGGTCCGATATCCCCACTCCGCCCGGGAAGGTGCGGTTTCGATATCGGGGGCCTATTGCCGATGTATCGGTGATATATCGCCGATTCCGGGGCGATGCATCCCCCCGGGCAGTCCCCCCCGATCGTTGCCCCTCAATCTTCTGCCTCTGGGGGCCCTTGCCGGGCCTCGGGACCTTGAAGAAACGACTCAGGATGAGAAACGGCTCCCAGGGAATGGGTCAAGACCTTTGGGGGTGGACGCAATAACGTAGTGATACAAAATCATGGCGTCGATGGTCTAGGATAGGAGGGGTCGGGCTCATGGGGGGGGTCGCGTCGACCCCCAATCGCCCATTCATCGCCGATGGGGCCCCGATACCCCGCCTCGCCCCGAGACGCTCGGAGTCGCTATCGGGGGCCCATCGCCGATCCACTGGGGCGGCGCGCCGCCGACTCGAGCTGGATGGTTCCCCCGGGAGCTGCTCCCGCCCGAGCGCTGCCCCCCCCCCCTCCCCATCAGCAGCCAGCGAGCAGCGCAGACTTCTCAGAGGCTGGGCCTCCGGGAGAGGCTGCATTTTTTCGGGGGCCCCGGCGGGGCCCCGGCGGGGCCCGCCGGTGCCCCCGGGGGCCGTGTCCGTTCGGGCCCCGCGCTGCCGCAGAGACCGCGGATAGCGAGGATCCAGAGCGAGGGCGCGCGGAGGCGACACGACACCGGAGCACTCTGCTCAGCTGGCGCCCCGCCGGGAGCCCTGGCGCGCTGCACGGGCCAGCGCGTTGGGCGCTGGACATCCGGCAGGCCTTCGGCGATGGCCGCCCTCTCCAAGAGGTCGCGGTGGGCATCGAACGGGCGAGGGGGTCGCTGCCTCCTCTTCCTCCTCCCTCCTCCTCCTCCTCCTCCCTCCTCCTCCTCCTCCTCCTCCTCCTCCTCTTCCTCCTCCTCCTCCTCCTCCTCCTCCTCCTCCGCCGCCGCCGCCGCCGCCGCCCCCGCCGCCGCTGCTGCTGCCTCCTCCTCCCCCACCTCGGAGGGCCGCGCTCCGTTGCCCCCCCCCCTCCCCGGGCTCCGTCGCCCTTCTGCTCGCCGCCGGGAGGGAGGACACTCCGATCGAGGTCGGGGCTCAAGAGTCCGTTCTGCAAGCGAGGGTCCGTCGGATCGGGCCGGGCGAAAGGGGGGGATTGGAAAAGGGGGGGTTACGGAATTTGCTGCATGCAGCTGGTTTCGGCCTCACCGAGGGGCCCATTCCTCGATACATGGCCGCATCCGGCGCCGGGAGGCGCAGGAAAAATCAGCTACGTGAGCTGATTCTCAAACCCCCCCTTTGCTATCCCCCCCTTTCGCCCGACCCGATCGGAGCGCCTGATCTTGCAGGATCCTGCAGAGCCAGGGGCGTACTGACCTGGGTTTCTCAGGCGCAGGGTCCTGCGGGATCCTGCGGGATCCTGGCAGGACCTTGCAAGGCCTGACTGA